CTGGAGACAGCAGTAGCAGTTACGGAAGGTCACTGAAGTCATCCTGTGCACACAGCCCTCGTAGCTTATAGCCCCCGAAGCCCTGCACACTCCTTTCCCAGGACTGTCAGTCACGCTCGGGTGCTCTTTTCCTTGCACTGAGTGATCATAGTTGAGTATTTGTAGCTTTATTGATATCAGAAGAAAGTTAAGTTGTAGACTAGAAAACTGCTTAAGCAAGGGAAAAGGCTATCCAAATGACGCATGGTTGAGAAAAAACAAGAACTGTTTTGTTTTCTGGTTTAACGAAGACATGTATCCATTGCATTTTGCTTCTCCTTTGTTCTTATCTGTATAAATATAGCAACTGAAATGAACGCGGCGCGGCAGTCAGCAAGGACTCCGTCCTCCCGTCCCCATCTGTGTGTTGTCTCTTCATTTCTCAGCCTCGCCCCTAACTCCAGGTGCCGCAGTCGCCGGCTGGCTCCGGCACTCCACCCCTATCTTTTGTAACATTTTCATATATTTCACACAATTTCATCTGTATACATCATAAACCCATGATAAACCCATGATATACTACTATTATTTTTTCTTAAACAGGATTGTGTTTTTTTAAAAATTTTAAAACAAAGGATATAGACTTTGTTTACCCACATATTTACCATTTCTGCTGATCTTTATTTCCCCCAGATCTGGTAACATCTTATGTCATACACTTTCAGCCTAAAGAGTTCCGTTTAACATTTTTCATAGTGTTGGTCAGCTAATGGCAAATTCTCTCAGATTTTTTTATCTTAATTTTTTTTCACCTTTATTATTGAAATATAATTTTGTAGGATATAAAATTCTGGTTTGATAGCCATTTGCTTTTCAGTAGTTCAACTGTACCATTCTGTTGCCTTTTGACCTTCATTGTTTCTGATAAAAAGCCAACATTAACTATATGTTTTTTCCCATACATAATGTCTCCTTTTTCTTTGACTATTTTCAAAACTTTCCTATCATATTTGGAGTTCAGCAGTTTTACTATATGTGCCTAAGTGTGATTTTCTGAGTATTTATCCTGACTGTGCTTCATTGGGTTTCTTGGATTTATAAGTTGTCTTTGTATTTCAAAAATTTGAGGCCACTATTCCTTCCAATATTGTTTCTGTCTCATTTTCTCTCTCCTCTCTCTCTTTTTTGAGACAGGGTCTCATTCAGCCTAGGCTAGAGTACTATGGCATCAGCCTAGCTCACAGCAACCTCAAACTCCTGGGCTCAAGCAATCCTCCTGCTTCAGCCTCCCAAGTAGCTGGGGCTGCAGGTAACCACCACCTCAGTGGGCTAATTTTTCTATTTTTAGTAGAGATGGAGTCTCACTCTTGCTCAGGCTGGTGTCAAACTCCTGACCTTGAGCAATCCTCCTGCCTTGGCCTCCCAAAGTGCTAGGATTACAGGCGTGAGCCACCACACCCAGCCTCTCTAGTCTCTTTCTAAGACTCTAAGTACATTCATATTAGACCAAATAACATTGACCAACAGGTGTCTGAGGATTTATTCATTTTCTTCAATTGTTTTTTCTCTCTTTTCTTCAAATAGGATCATTTCTATTGATCTATTTTCTAGTTCATCAATTTGTTCTTCTATCTTAAACCAGCTGTTAGGCACATCCAGTGAATGTATTTCCATTTGTTTCTTTTTACAGCTTTAATTTCTCTGCTGAGATTCTCTATCTGTTCATTCATTATATGTACATCTACTTTTAAATCTTTGAACATGTTTTTAATAGCTGCTTTAAAATCCCTGTCTGCTAATTGTTACATCTGGGTCATCTAGGCATCAATTTACATCAGTTTCCCCTTAACTTTGGGCCATATTTTCCTGCCTCTATGCATATCTAGTGATTTTTTTATTGGACATGGACATTATGAATGGTATGTTGTAGAGACTTTGAATTCTGTTATATTTCTCTAATGAGTCATTTTTGGGATTTTTTGTTGTTGTTGTTCTGTTCTATAAACCAGTTCACTTGACTGGACTCGAACTCCAAACTCTGTTTTCCCTAAAGTGAGAAGCACCTCTGAAATCTTTGTTCTTTTAGCTTTTATGGTGTCTTGTCAGGCCATCAGGGTCTCCCTCATCCACTGTTGTTTAGTGATCTGCCAAAGACTTGAATAGATTTATACACAGATTGATTTGTGGGGCCCACACCTATGAAGTTCCCTCCCTTCTATCATTTCACTGCTGACTGTCTGGCTTTTCTCCCAGCTCCAAATTCTATTCTCTAACATTTCAAGTCAGAAAATAGAGCCGACTTCATGCTCATGTGACTTGCAAATTCACACAGGGCCCCACACTTGATTTAAAGCTCTGCTATCACTGTCTTGAAATTCTTAATTTTTCAACAAGGGGCCACATTTTGATTTACGTACTGTCCCAACCCGCGGGACCTTCTGTTACTCGCGGGGGTCAAGGGGGACCTTGCCTGAAAGAGATGGGCGAGAGAAAGGAACGAGACCAAGCAAAGGGTTGTCAAGGTCTGCTTTACTTAGATTTTCTGCTGGTTTTATAATCATACAGAAACAAGGAAGTATGAACAGAAAAATAGAGTGGGGGGATGATGAGGCTCGGGTTTGGGTCAATCAGCCCCAATTAGCATCTTATCGGCTTCGAAGCTGTTTGTAACTGATCACTCAACCTCAACTGGGCGGGGGTCGGGAACAATTGCAGGTAGCATACCCTGGAGCAAACAATTGCAGGTAGCACACCCTGGAGCAAGCACGTCTTGAAATGCATTCTTCTCGGAGCTATAGCTGGAGGGTTGGGTGCTTATTTTCCTCCTGGGAATTTTCCAGGGCGAGGCCCGTGCGTAGGACAAGTCGTTGGGGTGTTGAGGGTCTTAGTCTCTAACAATGTACTTAAGTTTAAAAAATACATACTACATTTATTTTCATTTTCAGCTTGCTTTAACATATAAATAAAATGTTAACCTTCTCACTTGATACTAGCTGATAAAGTTTAGCTAGTGAGTTATAACAGAAGAGCAATTGCTATCAGTCCCTCAGGTCTCAGTTCATATATTCCTTTTTTTCCCCAAAGACCTTACCTGTCTCCCATACTACTCTTCCCTCCACCCCAATGTGAATGGGAAAGTCCCTTCTTAATCCTCAGAAAACCCTGCTGTTTCCCTTCATGGCACTTGAATAATTTGCAATGTATAATAAATATATTTACTTGTGTTTATATGATTGAAATACTACCTCACTAATGTATAAATTTCGCAAGGACTCATGTCTTTTGCCTCACCAGCAAGAAAGCCTAGCACACTGTAGATACCTAATAAATATTAATTAAGTGAATGATTGAATGGACAAATGAATGGCTGAATAGTGAAAATGACAGTGATATTTAGTAACTTTTTATGTTTTCCCAAGTTAGACTTTCTATAGTCCTTCCTCCTTTCTTGTACTGCTCAAAGATCTGAAAGTATGCCATAATTTTGGTGAATGTTTTGAGACAATGTTAGATCAAAAGTATTACATTGTATATACATGTGCTATTAACAGGGCTCCCAAAGAAATGTGAGCTCTGGATCCCCAACTTCATATTTAAAATTTTAATCAAATGAAATATTTACACCCAGCGCCAACTAGCACAGCATACACTGTGCTGCATGCTGCGAGGCATTAAATGGACGAAACTGGGGTATGATGGGATTTATATTAGGTATATTTAACTATCAGTAATAATATCCCATATCATTTTCCTAGAAATTAACATAGCAGGTTTCTTACAAGTTATATTGAAATATTCACCTGTTGCAAAAGCTCCATAAGATGAAGTGTAGTATGTGGGAAATAACAGAGAAGGTGGGGCCTCTGGGGGCGTCTCATCTGCAGAGACCTGGAGAACACCCAATCTGAAAGTGCCTCTGCTCCTCTCTGCACTATATTGTGGATTAAGAAATACAATAAAATGTGCAATTTCATATTCTATTTTAGCAAATGTAAATAGTATATGACAATTATATGTGCTCATTTAAAATTTTTAAGTGTCACGATTGCTAAAAATGGTGTCATGGACATCCAGAATCAGAGACTTTGTCGAGGTCAAAGGTGTAACAGTATTAAAGCAGGGATCAAGAGAGTGTGGACGTGTGTGCGTGTGTAAGATGCTGGTGAGCAGAAAAGCGGTAGCGAGGTGCAGAGATCTCCACAAGTAACACTTTATGGAATCGACGGCTATAAAGCCAGCATCTCTATGTCTGCACCCGCTTTCCATTCTTATTTATCGCTGTGCAGGATCAAGGCCACCGTGGTTTTCTTTTGTCTCTCTCTCTCTTTTTATTTATTTATTTATTTTTTTTGACAGAGTCTCATTCTGTTGCCCAGTCTACAGTGCAGAGGCATCATCACAGCTCACCGCAACCTCAAACTCCTGGGCTCAAGCGATCCTCCTGCCTCAGCCTCCCGAGTAGCTGGGACTACAGGCATGTGTCACTGCACCCGCCCAGCTGTTCTGTTTTTGCAGAGACGGAGTCTCGCTCTTGCTCAGGCTGGTCTCAAACTCCTGAGCTCAAGGGACCCTCCCGCCTCAGCCCCCAGAGTGTTAGGGTGACAGGCGTGGGCCACGCTTGCGGCCCGCAGCGGTTCCCTGACTGCTCCCGCAGCAGCTCCGGGTAGCGACAGCCCCGCCACCGCAGCGCTGTGTGCAGTTGCGCGCCGGGCTCGCACGGCGGTATTTACGGTAGCAGAGAGTCGCATGCGCGGCGGCGGTTACGGTAGCGGGGACCTGCTAGGGCGGCAGTATTTACGGCAGCGAACGGCAGCATTCGGGTAACCCGGGCCGGGCTCGCGGAGACGGGGGGCTCGGCCGGTTCTCGGCGTTCCCAGGTGATCTCCAGCCGCCCGGGCCGCCGCCCCTGCGCCCCGCGGACGTGCACCATGGCCCTCGGGGGCAGCGGGGGGCGGGCCCTCGGCGTGCGGCCCGCGGCCCTCCCGCCGCTCCGCGGGGCGCCGGCCTGAGCGCGCGCCCTCATGGGTCTGTGCTACAGCCTGCGGCCGCTGCTCTTCGGCGGCCCGGGGGACGCGCCCTGCGCCGCCTCGAGCCGCCGAGCAGGACGCCGCCGCCCGCCCCGGCCCCGCCCCGGCCGGCCCGCGCTTCCGCTGGGGCGGCCCCACGGGAAGCCCGGCGCGCGCCGAGGAGCGCGAGGCCGCGCGGGACGCGAGGAGGGTCAGCCGCGGCATCGACCGCGCGCTGCGCCAGCAGGAGCGCGACCTGCGGCGGACGCACCGGCTGCTCCTGCTGGGTAGGTGGGGCGGCGGCGGGCGGGACGCACGCGGCGCCGGCGCCGAGCCGGGTCGTGGAGCCGGGCGGGACGGCCTGGCCTGGCGCGGCGACTCGGCCGAGGGCGCACGGCCCGCCCGTGCCCGCCTGGCGCCGCCGCGGGTGGCGCGCCCCGGGAGGCCCGCGCTGGGCCGCCCGAGCCCCGTTTCCTGCCGCCGCCGCAGCCCGGCCGCAGTCGGCTTTAAGAACACAGATGAAAGGAGGTCATGAGGCCCTTTAGCTTGGCCACAAAGCTTTTATCCCAGTGTCGCTGTGACAGCCGAGCTGTCTGCAGGGGTGGGCTGGTGCCCGTGCGAAGTCACGCCAGCCGCTGGGGACAGGGCACTGGTATCCTGTTGCACAGGGGTGCAACCCCGGGCTCCTCTTCGGAAGCGGCGACGCCACAGTGGCGTGCCGCGGCTGCCCCCTGTGCCGACTGCGTGCAAGAGAGCGGGCAAGAATTAGCTGCTTGTCCAACTAGTAGTATTTCTCACAGCTTAGCTTTAGCAAGTATTGAATGTGCCTGCTCGAATGAACAAACAGAAAACACTTTTCTATGCACTCTGCTATGGAATGAAAGAAAAATGTCGTGAATTCTTGATGCTACTTGTTGCCTTTTAAATTTGAAGGCAAAATAATAAGAAGATGATGTGGGGCTTCTGAGTCCAGCTCTGTGGCATACAAGTAGGAACAATTGTTCAGGCCTGTGCTCTGCTGTGCTCAGGAAAGGAGCTAGCTGTGACTTTAGAAAGATGCCCGCTTATAAATAAATACAACTTAAGATCTAGAGAACAATAAATACTGAGTTTGACCATACTCACCCACTGCAAGAAGGAATAATTAAAGCAACATAAACATAGCTGCTGTATTGTGGTAGAATATCTGAATTCTAAAGCAAAGGGGAATATGGAGGGAGAAACAAAGAACAAAAAATAAATACGCAGGTTACCTCAAAAGGGAAGAGGACTGACCAGCAACAGAGTCTCCTCTGCAGTGCTAACTTCTAGAATGTGGTGGAGCAGATGTTTCCAGAGGTCTGAGGATACAGAATTATAATTTTAGAATTTCGCACATAGTTAAACCATTGTTGTTATGTGAGGGTAAGGGAACTCTTCAGGATATGTATGGTGCTCAAAATATTCCCCTACCCACATATTTTTCTGGAAATAAATTAATTGGAAATTACTCTAGCCAAACTTTTAAACATGCATCAGATTAAAATAACTCTAAAGGGGGAGAATTGTGCTCTTAAGAAACAACAAAGAAGGATAAGACAAATAAGGTCTAGAATTGTGACAGTATGTGATAGTGTGATTGTACAGTTGAACATAATTTCAAAAACAACAAAAGGACATGTGAAGCAGAAAATGCTTGATATGTAATAAAAAATTAATAAACTCTGAATCTGTGAAGGAAGTCGAGATAAATTCTAAAGAATGGAATGGTAAGCTCTAAAGAGTCAACTTCTCATAATACATTTTGAATGACTGTACTCTTTAAAGACCATCTCATAGCCTCATAGAGCTTATATATCAGCATCGTATCTGAAATGAAACTGAATCAAATGACTCACACTTGGCAGGGAGAGTGTATTGTGTCCACCATCCAACAATATCAATATTAAAACACGTACTGTTGAATTTTGGGCTGACATTGTTTATCAGATTTTGCGTAGGTTTGAGTTATGCACAGACAGGTTCTTGGTTTCGTTAAGGTTTAGAATGGATTTAGCCAGAAATTTTTTGAATCATAAGCATGACTTATTGACCATTAATGATATCCTCAGATGCTTGCTTCTGCTGCCATTGTGTCTAATAGCCATTTATTTTTGCTCACTGACTCCATTCATTTATTTATTCTGGAAATGTGCACTGAAAGCCTGGCACTTGGGGACAGATGACTCACATTCAGGGAAGGCACACTCCCTCCAGTGCCCTTCCTTACTCTGTGCCCACTAGTCTGAGGATAGTCCCCTAGGGAACTTTGCCAGAGTCCTCCAGTGGGAATAAATGTCTAACTCCTTGTGTTCTTGTGAATTCTATTTGTGCCTTTCATATAGCACTGTTAACAGTCTGCGTTACTCCATAGTTTCTTGATGAGCTCTGACTCCCCCATCAGGTCAATCCTGATGACAAAGCTTTCTCTCCTGCACAGGACGCAGCACCCCATATGATTCTAGAGCAACAGCACAAGAATCTGGAGGCCACTGTCACAACAAGAACTTTAAGGCGAGAGTGGTATGGTCATGCTTTAATTTTTAGATGGAGCATCATTCAAGCACCATGGCTGGGTTTTAAGGAGGTACAGGCATGAGATGGAAATAAGATGGAAGTTCCAGTTAGAAGGCAACAGTCCAAGCAAGTGATCATGGGGTCCAAGCTAGAGTGCATGTAGTAGGGTTGGGGAGGGTTTGGGCTTGGGGAAGAGGTCAGATGACTGGAAGTGGGAGGTTGGCAAGGAGAGGGATTCTCCAATGCCTCTGATGTCCGCAGAGTGAGCTGCATGTTAGTTGGCTTTCTCACATACCAAAATACTGCAGGCCGGATGGCTTAAAAAACAGACATTTACTTTCTCACAATTCTAGAGGCTGGAAGTGCAGGATAAAGGTGCCAGCAGGGTTAGTTTCTGGTGAGGGCTCGCTTCCTGGCTTGCAGATGGCCACCTTGCAGTATCCTCACATGGCCTCTCCACTATGTGTACACAGGAGAGGGGGGAGGGGAGAGGGAGAGAGGAGAGAGAGATCTGCCGTCTTTTCCTCTTGTTACAAGGACACCAGACCCCTTGGATTAGAACCTACCCTGGGACCTCTTTACCTTAATTATTGCCTTAAAGGCCCAGTGCCCAAATACAGTCACATTGGGGAATTAGGGCTTCGTGAGCATTGGGACTGGGACCATCAGCCCACAAGGGGTAAGGCAGAGAGTGCATGCCCCTTCTAACAGGGACGGCTGCGTCTAAGCCTCATCCCATTGTTGCCTTGTGAGAACACAGGCCCAGTGGTGCCAGGTCTTCTGGACTTCTAGAATGAGGTGGAAATGGCAGTTTTCATCTAAAACCTAGTTATTTTTAAGCATTAGCTCAAATTAATAAAACACAATCTACATGACTGATCAGAGTCCATGGGTCACTGATTCTGGCATCTGATCTACCCCAGGCCACACAAACCTTTCTGCAGCCTGTGCACTGGGCTGTTGGCAACGGTCCTGAGTCTGCACCAATTAAATGCACAATTGACTGGGCATGGGGTCAAAACATTCAGTGTCTGAACACACACAGCAAAGAAAGTTGTGTGCGCCATTCTCCAAGTGGATTTTTCTGCCGCTGAGTTCGTGAAGTTGTCATGGAGTAGATGCCCTTGATTTTTCCTCTACCTCTTTCGTTGACTGATGGAAAGTTTCTGTTCACCGCATTCCTGTTAGAGAAGTGCCATCATGTCCCACCTAACTATTACTTTGATAATATTCCTTTTCCAGATTGTTACTCGAATTTAAAATGGTCACCTGTGGATAGAATTCATGTGTTCTTCCTTTATTCAATTATTAATATTTCCTATTACATCTTGTGTGTTTGGTAATTCTCTGTCAGGAATACATCTTTCAAAAAGGAAGTGGTATCTTTGGGACATTTGCTGGTTTTCTTCTGTAGCAGAATGCTGGCATGACCTCAGTCTATGCCTGTAGTTGCTCTAAGAGGAAGTATGTGGTACAGTCACCAAAAAAAAGGAATGTTCTCTACTCTAGGGTAAAAAAAAAAAAGTAGTTTCTACAGTGACCAAGAAAAGACAGCAATTTTTGAATTGGGCAGTAACCTGGGCACATCCTTGTCATTTTGCTGTCTTCGTTTATTGCCACAGCCTCCTGTGGTGCAATGGCTTTTAACATCAGTAGAAATCCCAAGTGCTCTGGCTGTTCCTTAACTTTCCTAAACTCACAAAAGTATAACACATCCTTGTAGTCTGGGAAGAGAATGCTGTAAGGTTGTCATATTTTAGCTAAAACTTTCATATTGTATAAACTATATTAACTATAATTTGCTGTCATTGCTTATAGGAAGTCTACTTTCATCCCAGGAATTTATCTTGTTCTTTGACTTGTCAAAACATGGGAAGTTCAGAGCACTATGTCAAAAATGCCCTCTTTGACTTGTAAACCCTTTGGTGTTTGGATGGACAATCAGTATGGGGCCTGGGAACACACCCCAGCTGCTGGTGGACAGGTGTGTCCCTGGAGTATGTGACCATTTGGTGACTACTTCTCTCGAACCTTGGGGATCTCCCACAACCCACTGTGAGCTGCAGAAGGAGCTGGCAGCCAGGAATGTGGCGCTGGAGTCAGACGGACCCTGGGTGAGGTCCTGGCACCCCAGCCTCCAGCTGCGTGAGCTCAGGTAAACCTCCCAGAGCTTCGGCGCCCGGCCCAGTGTTAATAACCCAATGCCATGGGCTTCCTGAGAGGATTAAGTGAAATTAACTGAAGTCACTTAACATAAGTTTACAGCCGGAGATGGCACATCCGCACAAAGCTCGCCGGCCGCAGGCACACAGCCCTCTGTGTGTGGCTGGCTGGGGTCACCCCCCAGCAGCCTGCCCTGGCGCCCAGCGCCGGCCAGCGGAGACAGGTGCAGGGGGCTGGCCAGGCAAGAGATGTGAGGAGGGACCGCAGGCATGGGGGATGAGGAAGAGGAAGGGGCAGGCGCGGCTGTGGGTGGGGCCAAGTACACCCTCGAGGACCTGGTAACAGGGAGACGGAGGAAAGGAAGGATGGGGGCAGAGAAGTCTTGCCAAACCCTGAAGTAAAATGGTGGTGACATTTCTGTGGTGAAGAATTTCAGAGGAGAGGCAGCGGGAGGAAGAGCAGGGTGAGGTCCCTTTTGACCATGTTGAGACTGAGAGTCCTGGGGCAGCCTGGGAGCCGTGTCTGGGAAGTAGCCGGGTGCTGGCCGTGGGTCTGGAGCTCTGGGAGAATGCCCAGGGGACACAGACGT